CTGACTAGCCTGGTGGATTCTGGGGGTCAGGGGCAGATGGGCAGCAGCGGGAAGAGGCTGGAGGAAGTGCGGGGGTGACCGGAACCAGACGGACTGCAGCCACAGGCCAGGCAGGCCCAGGTCCTCAGCTCTGCAAGGAAGAAGCCAGTGTCCCGGGCCACGCGGGCAGCGCTGCCCGGAAACCGAGCTGACCAAGTGCTCAGAACCCTCTCGCCATCACCAGCCAGTCCGCTTCCGGACCTACCCGGCGGGCGGTTAATTGGAAATGAGACAGGGAAACGCTGGCACCGCCCGTGGTCAATAGAAAGGAAGTGGAAATCCCTCAATGTCTTAGCGGAGGGAAGACCATGGCGTGGCCGCCCGGCGGGATAGTGGGGGCGGCGCAGCGAGGGGAGCTCATGGGAGGATAAACTGGAAATGTGAGGGTTCAAGGCCATGGAAGCCGGGCGGGGGCCAGGCCGGAAGGAAACACACCTAGGTCGGGAGTGCCCCCCATCAGGAACCAGGAGCCGTGCACGAGCGCATGCAGCGACCGACAGACAGACCGACAGACAGGCCTGTGCCCGAAGCCAGACGCGAGTGCAGTGCGGAGCGGGGGCTCTACCTTCTCACACAGCGCGAGCACAGTCCCGGCCTGGATGATGGCCACCTGCTCTTCGTTTCTCAGATTCTAAAACACAAAACCGGCAAGGGCGTTTGGCACGGGATCCCGCAGGCCTTCGGGCTAGACAGCTGGCAGGTCCTCTCTGAGCGTGTCCTCCACCCTCTCAAGGTCAGCCCCACCCTCTCAAGGTCAGCTCCACTCTCTCAAGGTCAGCCCCACTCTCTCAAGGTCAGCCCCACCCTCTCAAGGTCAGCTCCACTCTCTCAAGGTCAGCTTTTAATGGCACAGACGTCCTCTCTGAGCTCTGGCCTTCTGCTTGGGAACCTGTCACAGGGTGGCACCACGCCAACCTTTTAGGAAAGTAAAAATCTCACTTTGTGATTTCAGAAATCTTGGGGGACTCCACTATCTTTCTGGGGATTCATTCTTATGCTTTCCCCCCTCATCACTCACAGGCTCAGAGGACGAGCTAACCGGGGAACCCCACTTCTGGCAAGAACCCCACTTCTGAGGACTGCAGACCCAGCCACCCCCAGGGAACACGGCCACATAAAAGCCTTACATTGTACGTATTCGATCTCTTACATTAGGAAGAAAGGAAAACAGAACGAAAGCCACACAATACACTGAACCACAACGAGACACGGAACCCAGAGCCAGTCGCTCGTAGTTACCCCGTTATCGCCCAGGATGTCTAACTTCTTCATCAGGTCGGACACATCCACGTCCTGGAAGAGATGCAACTGTCATTTCTGAGTGAGCGACAGAGCACGTGGCGCCAGGCTCTCGGGCCACAGTCCTCACTGCTCCCTACGCGCTCCCCTTCCTCCTCTTATAGGGACAGGGTGCTGCGTGTTAGGTCCCTGCTTTCAAGAGCGGCCTTGGCAGCCTGTGGGCAGGAGCACCGTCTCTGTGCCCATGGGAAGGTCTTACCCGCCTCCGGGAGCAGGACAAACACCGGGCTGTTAGACAACCACAGACGTCCTGGCCAGGGCACCCCTGCCTGTCGGGCACCACACCGAGTGCTCCTCTCGGTTAACGGACCCGCCCAGGTCTCAGAGACGAAGAGGAGACGGGAGGTCAGGGAGGTTCCGGGCCAGGGCTAGGGTCGGCACTCAAGGCCACCTCCCACGTCTCTGTTCTTTTATCGTGGGCTACAAACAGGATAGCCATTGGTGACTCGCTGAAATAGTGAACTATGACTTTCAGGATGTGTGTGTGTCGGGAGGGGAGGGGTCTCTTATGAAAACGCATTCTATCCCTGGCATCGAGCTGCCCTGGGCCGCAGCAGGGGCACCCCTTCTCCTCCCAGCCCTGCC